TCTTATACAAAATCGGGAATATACTTCCGGTCGGGTCTCAGCATTTCCATTCCCCCCCCCCAAAAAAAGTGAGATGAAATTGGATTTTCCCATTCAATCCAGGCTGAAAATTCAATATACCAACTCTCAATAGGTCTATTCTAATTTTGAATAAAGCAAGGATTTAACTTTCGTGAGCAGTGATAAGACTGGGGATTTTGGGGAAAAAATCGTATATGGGGAATGCGTCCAAAATTAACCATCTGAGTTTCAGTAAAATAATGTCATTCTTGGAACGAGTTACAGCCATTTTACAGTAGATGTATGTCACGTTCCATTTCTGTAATAATACATTAGGAGAGTATGAATAGCGATGACGGATTTGTAGATAAATATCCAGTATTTATTATCTGTAAAATAAAATAAAAATTTCCCCCACTTTCTTCCTGAAAGTAAGGCGGATGAAAGCCACCCCACCTCAATAAGTGTGGGGGGGGGGATATACCCCCATCCCCCCGCTATCTACGCCCCTGTCAGATGAACTCAAATTTGACTTTTGATATGCATACAAATATATTAATAATCATAATCTTTGTTAGCAGTACTCTACAGGCGCCGCGGAACGATTTTTGAAGTGGGGGTGCTCAATTTGTTACGCTCGACAGTGGCCAATGCAGGTTTTCGAGGAGGGTGGTAAGAAACAGGCGGGGTAGGGGGTATGCGGGTCCTCCCCCAGAAAATTTTGAATCCCCCATTTTCCTCCTGAAAGTAGGGGGTGATGATTGTACACGCCATCCCCCCCCCCACGTCAATAAGTGGGGGGATGCATTCAATCCCCCCCCCCGCTATCTACGCCCCTGCGCACATGTTTCTAAGCCAAGAGGTGCCCCTTATCGTACAGTGTCGGTTGGTTGATGCTGCCCCTTTTGCATTGACAGCCATTTAGTATTTCACAAATAAACTGAAATGTACATGAAAAATGTGTTCTTTTTAACCAGTAAAGATATTGCTACCAATAAAAATGTAATTATTTTTGTTTCAGACAGGAACAGTAGTTCCACTTACTGTAGCAGTAGGAGAGCGTGTCTTGCTTCCAGAATATGGTGGAACAAAGGTGGAAATAGAAGACAAGGTTTGTGTTAATAAGTGACAGTTAATACACAACACAATTAAGTGGTGCTATAACAATAAAAATGATGTATGCAGAAACTGTAAATGTTGATGGTGACATGTGATAGATATGTTGGGGGTTGTTAACTTGTTAAATATGTATTTGTGTGGTCATATTTGTTATAATAAGTTGATCAGTAATAGACAGTATCCATCTAACAAGATAATGGTATTTCATAGTTCATGTTGATACCAAGTAACGTGTTGTTACAACAAATTTGCATGATGTGTAATACATTCGATTAATTTTATATTTGAATTTTCTTGATTCTATTGAATGCTAATGTACTGATTTTTTTCTTATATATATTTTTATGTGAATTGGATTTTTCTTATGTAAAAACAAACATGAATGGCATAAGTGTACTAACTGATTGTGTTACACTATTGCAGTGATTGGTTGTGTTTGTATGTCAAAATCTTGTACATTGTTTATGTATTATTCCCTTACAGGAGTACTTCCTATTCCGGGATACGGATATTCTTGGCAAGTGGGAGTCGTGAGGTCATGAGGTAGAACTCTGATGTTGGAAAACGGAATAGTTGCCGTGATAACCATTATTTGCTGTTAAGTCATGGTCTAAATGTTGATCAACAACTGTTACCTGTTGTTTATTTGTCTACGTTATGTTGAGGAAATGTCCAAATATGGTTACTGTATCATTGCCAGAGGTTCGTGAAGTAGAGAGGAGACACTAGTCCTACAATTGTGTGGTATATATTTACCAAGGTTCTTAAATCATTTTATAGAAGCATTCCATGTGTCCAGCAGAATGCCCACACAACCTGGCTAGGTACAATATAGAAATGTGTTTTAGATGTAACCATAGTATCACAGAAAGTGATAGGTGATTTTCAGTACAAAAAATTCCATGTTAAAATAACAATGTAATGTTATCATACTGTGGTGCACATAAAAGAAGGGAAAACTTTTTGGTAAATATGATACAGATAGGCTTCAACTTCTTCACTTACTATTTAAATTCGTTTTGGCTTTGTGTAGACAGTGTCATAAAATCATGAACTGTAAATAAATTTCAGTATTTGAAATAGTGTGTTACGTGCTACTTTCAGTTCAATAAATGTGCATTACCTTAAATGTCCTTTCTTCTGACTAATTGATGTAATGAAAATGACGCCTTGTGCTTGATGCTTTAATTTTTTGACATTTTTAGTAAGTTTTCTTTCAAAGTATACTACTGTTAAAATGAGATTATGGTATAATAGTGTCCGTACGGCAATAATCAAAATTAGAGTCGGGCACGTTTTGAAGAATACAGCCAAGTACGAAGGTTCCAAGACGTTTTATCGTTACTCAAGAAATAACAGTAAGTGCCGTAAAAGAGGGGAAACACTAGACTGGTTGGAACTTATACATGTTATCAGGAGTAGATAATAGAAGATATTCTTCTATATCTACTCCTGATGTTATACTTACTGTTAGGGTTACGGGCGGGTAACACTTGTAAAGGGCATTGCAACAACTGCTCATCAAATTCAATCAAACTCACATCCATTACATAAGAGAGATGTCTCTCTCTCTACGCTCTCGATGAAAACAAAATTGGAAAAATTCATCGCTAATTAAGTGATGGCAAAAATTGTGAATTTATACAAAAAATGCTTTTTTTGTTATTTCTCAGAAACAGCAGTTGGGTCCTAAACTTTTACCCATAAGTTTTTTTAAACCACCGGCATTTTTTTTAAATGCTTTAATTTAGGAAATAAGTTAAAAAGATGTACGAAAATTTGTAGTGATTTTCAAAACGCAACAATTTCGTAAACAAAGAGCCATAACTTATAAAATATTATATTTAAAATTTTGGAATCGGAGTTTAGTTTCGAGAAATAGCATTTGAAAAATCAGCAACTTCAGCATTTCTAACAATGGAGATATTAGTACTTTCCCATGATTGAATGCCTGTGTTAAGAATTGACTAATACGGGAATTTGGAACAGTTTGGGAGGCTACATACAAAATTTCAACGTATACATAGCTGACGATAGGTGCAATCTATCAAATAAAGTGGGTATTGAAATTTCGACCGAAAATCACCTCCCAACCCTAACAGTAGATATATATAGATCCCAACCCTAGAGATGAGATGGTATGATAGTGTCACTCTTAATGTATGTTACCATTGTTAAACATTAACAAAAAGCCTACATACGCCTACTGTGAGCATACTTGCAGTATGCAAACGTCACGAAATGTTCTTATTGAGCCAGAAATGTACTCCAAACATTGGGATTTTCAAAACCGCGTCCGACGCAGTTTCGCCATATAGATACACATGTTGTTTTGGAGCGAAGAGCCAACAGTAGGCCTACGCTAGCGCAAATAGCTTCTGCAACGAAAACTATATATTTGTTTCCTGATTGCATAAGTAACGTAGATAACATATGATTTAAACAAATTTTGTACCGAGTAAACATAGAACAATAAAGTATAAAGAATAAGTTGAATCCTGTGAAAGTAGCAATACAAATAAGTTGTGAATTTTTACAACATGGACGAGCTCACAGTAGGTATATCTATGCATTTTGCTGCGAGAACATGCCGTTTTAAAAAGTGCTAAACTAACTTGTTTGCATTGTCACCTTACTTTTGTTCTTATGCTGCCAATATTCAGTGGAGAACATCAAATGACCAAGGATTTGGTAAACCAAACTTTATTGATATACACCGGGGTAGACAGTATTGATTCGCGTGGCCGAGCATGCGCAGAACTACATCTAATACAACCTCTATGTGAATGTCAATGTGTACAACAACGAAGCACTATTTACAAATTAATCGTTAGGGCGCCATTTTGGTAGTGATGTGCCCGACTCGGCCAACAATCCAAGCAATAATAGTGGTTTGCTAAACAGACATACTAGCCTTCAACAGAAAAAGCCACACAGTTTTGATCTAGTATCATTGACCTATGTCATCTATGCCGTATGTTAATACTGCTCGCTAAATTTTACGTGACTGCAGTGCGAGGTATTATTACTACTTAAAAGCGTGGTAGTGCCAGCAATACAACATTAGTAACATCAAATGTCTTACGTTTACACATTTAGTACCAGACTGCGCTATCGCTCATGACTAAAATTCTTTTTATAATTTAATGAATGTGCTGAGAATATTTGACGGTGCGTTATTGGTAGCTATCCCTGATTGAACTATATTATCTTAACATTCAAAACGTGAACGACGACAGAAATAACAGAATTTAACCACCACGTTTAGAACACGTATTGAAAACCAGAGGCAAATCCAAATCATAATTAGCGGACAGACAATACGCCTTGTCTTACAATGGAAAGCCTGCAGGTTCCAACGCGCATGCTGTAAAAGCATGCAGAACACATCGTTGCCGCAATTACTTGTCACCGACAAGCTTCTGCAGGCCGTTTGTGCTCATGGACTTGGGACGCTCAAGGGGATAGCTGAGAGCACGAGACCAGATCATCTGAGCGAGGCAGCCCAGGGCACGCGACACGCCAAACAGCACTGTGTAGTAGTTCATTTCCATCATGCCGTAGTACTGCAAAGCAACGAAAACATCTTAGTCGATCGTCCAAGCTTTCGGACACACGTCAGTCGAAACGGAAACATCTTTTTAATGCAGATGCTTTCTTTCTTTGCCGTTTAAATGTGAAACTTTTGGTGAGTACGTTTGGCGAGATACGCGCGAGTTGCGATATATAAAGATAAAATGCTTTTTCACATTGAGTCGCTGTGGATAATGGAAGCGCCAATATCTGAATTGGGATAATAAAAGTTAACAGACAATGGACAAATTTAGAATTTACCCTGAACCCTGTGGTGAAGAAGGACCTCAGCATCCTTTACCTCACAAGCCCACACTACCAAGCAAACTACACGTTTGCATTTCTCAGACCTGTATATACTTGTTTCCTCTGTGCACGCTCTCTTTCTCTCGCTCCCTCTCCCTCCCTCCCTCCCTCTCCCTTCCTCTCTTACTTACCTGCAGCAGCACACCACTGTGTGCATCCACGTTGGGCCACGGGTTCTTGGCTTTGCCCTGCTCCAGCAGCACGTCTGGTACGATCTTATAGAGCTGAGCGACCAGCTTGAACATCGGGTCTGAGGGAAGGTGTTTGAGCGCAAACTCCCTCTGCACGGCGTAGCGTGGGTCAGTCTTCCTTAGCACGGCATGTCCGTAGCCCGGAACCACCTATAGAAAGGGCAGCAGTCTAAAGCTGGGTATACACTATCAAAAAGTCGACGAGTTGACCAACCTTTCAATGCAAAATGTTGATCAACTCGCTGACCAAAAGTGGAGAAGATAGAACATGTTCTAATAGAAGATATCAACTAGTCAAGTGCTAAACCTTTACACTTACATTGCCGACGTTCGGTCGATTATTTGTAAAGTTGATCAACTCGTTAATATTTCAACAAAAAGTTGATAGCGTACTCAGCTTAACAGAGACAGACGCAGACCACACAGCCTCAGCTATCGTGCGGTTGTCAGGGGATTGTTTGAAATATCACCGGCATTCAATGGGGAACAAATAGACAAGACATCGGCATTTTTAAGCAGCAGCATGCAGGTCTACTATGCAATTGGATTTGAAGAGGTGTTTGTAATAAATAACTTAGTGCAGTTTTTGGATCCTAAGTACCCTGAGATGTGGAAACATCTTAATACTCATGTACCACTCAAGTCCGGACAAATTTTGTTATAGGACAATAAGTGAGATCGGAAAGTCCAGCTGTGCTATGTAGGTCACAGAAAAAGGGGGTATAAAATGGCCAAGGCGCGCTTAGGAAAGTACATGATTAATGTAAACGCTCGTGCTTTTTTAAGTTTTGCATTAACACAAACATTGCAAAATATCCCAAACGAACACAATAATATTTTTTGTAAATGTTTATGTAAACAGAAACGCACCTGTGAATTGAAGCACGATGTTAGTGAAGAGAATTATAGATCAAAAACCTAGAATAGTCCTATCCTATCCATGTTATAAAAGGGCTGTTTATACCCCCTCTTATCCGATCTCGATATGGCGGCGGGGACTTTCCGATATGGCATATATTTGCCCACTTAAACAAGTTCACGATATCTTCGTTTCAACCCTGTCAGTAAACATAAGTGCTTATTTTGAGATTGATCCCTGCCTCCACCCAAAGTTAGTCTTCCACAAATGACTCCATTAATATATCCAAGGGTGTTGCTATTTTGAGATCGCCTTATAACGGTACGTGTTATTATTGGCCCAATATTTTTGCAGCCCAGCCGACTACCAACCCCCCCCCACCCCGTAAACAGCAAGAAGCTGGGTATGTAAGGCAGATAATTTTTTGATGAGCTGAGGAGAGGAGCTGAACTATTTTACCCATTACTCTAAGTGTAGCCTAGCTTAACTCTTCTGAAAAACTCTATAAGACGATACAAGACATTGTGATATTGTGGAAACAAATGTGAATCAAACAATTGAACATGTAGAGGTGACTGATAGGGGCCTACATAAGTATGCATGATATTGTAAAATAACTTACCTGATGAAAGTGCATTTGTAGATGTAACAAAAATCATTATAATATTATGTAGAGACATACAAAATTTGCATTCTACCTGGATAAATGTGAGAGCATATTTAACAAAATCCTAGAGGCCATTAGTGACTAGTCTGACTACACAACGAAAAGCATGTATAAATAACGTAGGGGAAAGGACCTCAATGTAGACTCCCCCGGTTTCATTTTTACTTTCCTTAAAAGACAAAAACCATACATAATCTTTATCACTAATACTGATTTGCAATGCATGTAACATGCCACATGCTATGAACACTGTCACTCACCTGACCACCCTTGAGCGTGTTCCATACGAACTCTCTCAACTTCTCATCTGACACCTCGCCGCCAAGATCCTTGAAGACTTTCGTCAGCCACAGCAGCACTTCCTGTGGAAGTCAGTTAAAGAAGGATTCGTCCGTGACTCCGTGTACATACAGACAACACAGTACTTCCAACCAAGCTTTACTAATAAAGAGAAACGGGTAATGGTAATAGAGGGGACGAGATAATGGGAACGGAACGTCGCTTTTCATATATCAATATTAGGTTTTCTAGGAAGAATACTGTATATGCCATATTTTTCGCATGCAGATATTTTTACGCATGCAGACTTGACGGACAATTTCGCGAGTGGTTAATTTCGCGGTCGGTGAATTCCCGAATCAGTGAAGAACAAACAGTGTGTTGTTATTTTCGCGGTCGGAGACGCGTTCGCGGAATTCGCGAAAAATAAACCACCGCGAAATATACAGCGTATACAGTAGATTCTAGACTTTGGATATAAATTTTAAAAAATGATGGGAACGAACCTGGTTAGCCAGCCCATGCAGTGGTCCAGCTAGACCATTGATGCCTGCAGCAAAACTGAGATACGGATCCGACAGGGCACTACCCACCAGGTGGCAGGTGTGAGCGGACACATTGCCTCCTTCGTGGTCGCTTAGAACAACAAAATCGAAAACAAAAATAATCTCAACTGTGAAAATTACTAATGAACTAATGAAAATAACGCTATATAACAATGCTAGAACAACGAATATTAGAAACAAACGAACACAACTACTGCATTATAAAATAAATGACAAAACAGTGCAATAATGTTTCCTTGCTTTTGCCCTGCCCACACAACTACTGCATTATAAAACAAATGACAAAACAGTGCAATACTGTTTCCTTGCTTTTGCCCTGCCCACACAACCAAGTACTGCATTATAAAACAAATGACAAAACAGTGCAATACTGTTTCCTTGCTTTTGCCCTGCCCACACAACCAAGTACTGCATTATAAAACAAATGACAAAACAGTGCAATACTGTTTCCTTGCTTTTGCCCTGCCCACACAACCAAGTACTGCATTATAAAACAAATGACAAAACAGTGCAATACTGTTTCCTTGCTTTTGCCCTGCCCACACAACCAAGTACTGC